GGGCAGAACTTTTGGATCCTCTGCACTGCCCTAGCTCATTCATGCCATCACCCTTGACCCCAGTCGATAAATGCCTTCCCATTACAATGACACTGTGCCAAGACGAGAGAGGAGACGAAATTGCCTTCCTTTAAAGTCTCAATCTTTCTTTTCTCACCATTTTGATCACTTCTCCACATGTGGGTGCAGCTGCAGGTGTTCTCTTACTCCCTTTTCATAAAATGCAGAAAAGAGCCTCCACCTTTGAAAAGCCACATTTGTAGTTTTTTAAACATTTTCTCTCTTAATTTTTTTTTCTAGGGCTGCGAGTTATTGTACCAAAGTAAGTGCTGATAATTTTAACAACAGGAAAATTCGTTTTTTCAATTTCAGACTTTGAAAATATATTTTTGGGGTAGCAAGACAGGATATTGTTGCCTTTAGGCCAAATGGGTTGATTATTCCCCCTCCCTTCCCTCCATCCAGTATTTTCCCTTTTCCTATCTCTCATGTTCATTAACAGGGCGAGCAAGTCACGAGTTCATGGCCTGATGTCTCCTCCCTAGCTGCCCCAACATCTTATCCCACCTGAAATGGTCTGCCATATTGGTGAATGATGTGGTGGTGACCATTGGCGCTGTCTTTCTAGGTGTTGTTCACCACATCCCTGATTGGCTCTGGATTACCTTCTAATCGATAGTTGGTTGGTCAGATTTTGAGACCATTTATTGGTTCTTATTTGAGATCTTGAAGTTGACATCTCCGACTTCTCTTGACACTTTTTTGAGTGCCCTTACTTTTTTCCTCATATTTTTCCCTTTGAAGTAATCTTTTTTCAAGTTGTTATAATTAATAAGCCCACCTAATGAAATTAGTAATTTTGTGATAGATCCCCTCAATCATTTTTAAAGTCAAGTACACCAAAATACCAGGAGGATTAGGTGATTTCGGATTTCATTCGTTTCATTTTCGCATATACCGGGGAGGATTCATTTTCTCTCTACCCACTATGCGTCCCCCCACCTTCATCCCCCGCCTTCGCATCGTTCGTATTGGGCTTATTTTTAGACTAACGCGTGCTAGATCAGTGAGGCACTCATTCACCTAAGTTATAAAGCCTAGTTGAAAAAAGTGAAAAGCACATACACGCAAACTTGGGCTTTAAGTGGGAGGAAGGGGAGGAGTACGAAGGGTGAAAGGACGCCAGGAAGGGCTCTCCTTCAGTGGGCACTTTGCATTCCTTTCTACTACTGCTGATAGTAGCCTAAGTGGGAATTCGTAAATTTCTACAAGTTCTTTTTTACACCACATTTTAAAACTTACCTTCTTGTATCCAGTCCACTGACTATCTCAGTCAGCTTGGATACTTTTTTTTTGCTCATTTGCGTAAACTAATCTGAACGTGCGTGGCATCAGGACGCGTAATTGAGGTACGCAGCTTAACGATTTTGTTACAGCGGTCTCGGAAGAGGTTAACGTAGGCCTCCTGAACTGCGAACGTTAGGTTCTCACCTCAACCGCTCGGTATATAACAAGATAAGGAGCACCGATTAGAAACAAGTGTCATATATGTCCTGTGGCGCCAGTATCGCTTATATTTTTTCTACTGGTGGCGAAATGTCAAGGCAAGGCGTCCCTCTTCCAATTAAAAAAGATCTGCAGCACGTTTTTTTACGTCTAGGAAACACTGTTGATGCACGAATGACTGCGTGGGTGCCGCCAAATTCCTTGCTGAAGTTACACAATCGAGTAGTAAGGGGAGGTACCACTTTGCACTCTCCTGTAAGACTGGAGACGCTGACACCAAAAGTATGTCGTTTTTGGGATTATTAGGGTGTAAAAAGAGTTGAGTGCTATCCGAATGTCAGGCGAAACGACTATAGCTGCTAATTTAAGCAGCATATGCTACACCTTGTTCATTTCGATGGAACACCTCCACTCTTTTTGTCCAAGGTGAACTGTGTCATGGGGAAGTCATTCAGAGGGTACAACTAAAAGGCATTCATTACGCATTCCGGTTGCACTCATAATTCTTCTTTTCTACAAGTGAAAGTACTCCTCCCCCCTCTATTTCCCCTTACCCCTAAAAAGTGGCATCTACTACACGAAAAATGAACAATTATGCACTAAGTTTGCGAGAGAAATAGCCTGACACCTGAGTGGTTGGAATCAGATTACCCCAACGAAAAGGGAAAAATAGGTGTGTTTTGTGGTATGGCTGAATGAAATGACTAGCAGAAATGCATTTTAGTGTTTATATGCAGGTATTCTGAAGTATTGGCTTATTTGTGTTGGGAATTGAAACTCCCTTGCGCCATAAGTACCTATAGAGGATCTACATATACGTCCACGCACACTACCCCATGGCATATTTTTAACGCAAGTACACTATTTCGTGGTCAGAAGGCTGGGCTTGTTTTGTATGTGTGAGAGTGGGGAGGTCAAGCATCACTACTTGCCTGAGATCCATGCATCCACCTATAGAATCTAGGGGGTGGGGAAGTGTGGAGAATCGGTCGATTGGAAGAAGGTCCTATTTTTACAAAACGGCCTCAAAGTGGAACATTCGAAGGATTCATTTCGTGCTGGCTACTTTCGTTCACTCCTCGCATGCCTTCAACATAGTTTTTCCAAATAAATAATGAAAAAGGGGGTTTCTGAAACCTAATAAATGTGCTCACTAGTGGTAGTATGGAGATGAAGGGGTGGGAGCTCTATGGGGCACTTGCTTGGGAATAACCACCGTCAATCGGTAAACAACCTTTTCTTCTCTTGATACATGGAAGAAGTGGTGCATAACTCGACATTCTGTGTCGAGTAGTCAGAATTATGGAAAATCACTTAGTTGTTCATTTTCTTTCTCTCATTTTAAGATGAAAAAGAGGAATGCAGACCGCGCGATCCTCCTCACCGAGCTTACTTCCGTAATAGCGCATCGAATGGTGGAGACACGAGAGCGTGAGGCAAAAGCACTTTCTCGTTCAAGGGGACTTCTGGAGTGCAACCAATCACCATCATCGCCCTCATTGCCACCACCTGCCATTGATGAGGTGCAGTCGATGTCAATCGTGGTATGTCAAAATTGTCAACAACACATAGACATTCGTTCCAGGCGGCCAAAACAACATCCGCAACAGCAGCTTTCGGTTGCGTTCTATTTACCTATTTCTACTATCTTTCAAGTGGGAAAAGTTAAAACTTGGCTGAAAATCTACCGAAAACTTGCCACACTTTTATGACCATTTATTTTGACAAGTGATCATTTGTCAAGCACTTGCTCCTGCTTGATTGGGATCTTGCAAGGCTCCTCCACCCCCTGCTAAAAGTACATTTCTATGGGGTCTGTAACAGGTGGTTTAGGGAAATAGCTAGAATTTTTTTTCCTTTCCCCCC